AACCTCGGTTACACGGGGAGAATTATATCTACCTGGGTCACTGTTACGCTCGTATTTAATCGCCATTGTTACCTCTGCGGGAGCAATACCTTTTGCTGCTGTTTCAGATTGGGCTTCTTTTTCTACCTCATGTAGCATCTTGTACGATTTTGTTAATTCATTTATTTCATGCACGAGGTTGTTGATGTTGATCATGAGTCTTTCTGAGCAGCCCTGGTTTTCTGGCATTGCTAATCTTTTACTTGTAGCTTCGGCTGTATCCAAAATATAGAGTTGAACAAACTCCCGAGAAGGATGTAAAGTTCCAGTACGGTGATAAACTTGTCCAAGTATTCTAAAACAGTATGGCCCATATCCTGATGGCAATGCAATATTTGCATCCATGGAAGCAAAAGCAAAAGAACTATTTATGGAATGAATATTTTCCATGAAATTTTTACTGTCAGAATCTTCGTTTGTCATTAATCTTTTTAAATATGCCAGGTAACCTGGAAAGTGTATATCATTTGGACAGACTTTCCCTTTGCTACAACATCGAGTAAATTTCCCATCGGATGGTTTTTCATCCGAGAAATTTAGTGATAGGCAAAATTCACATCGAACAGTCATTCCACCACAACTATGTTCGAGGATTGCATCCTCATGTACTCCATTTTCGCTAAGAAGGCAGTAACTAACGGTATTGGTAGTACTTGTTGATGACTGTTCTCTAGACATATTCTGTCGTCGCCACTGCCTTCTTTCAACTTCAAAGGCACGTTGGTCTTTAGACATTTTCTGTCGATAACGCCGGTGTTTTTCGGCATCAGAGCGACGTTTTTCCAGTAGCTGGTGTTCAGATACATTCTGCCACAGGCACCTTCTTTCAAGATCAGACGCACGCTGCTCTGCAGACATTTTCTGTTGATAACACCGGCATCTTTTGGCTGCAGAGCTACGTTGTATCAACAGTTGTTCTTTAGACAATATCCCACCTCTCTACTGTCAGGTCTGAGATGCAGGTGAATGAGTCCTGGCTGTCAGGCCGCTGAGAGCTGTATGACCAATGGCTGATTCAGGCTGATTCTGTAGGGGTGGGACTTCCTCCTCCCTGCTGTCAGTTTCCATAACTGTGATGAGGAAGCTGGGGTGACAGAGGGAGCTGCGCCCTGCAAGCCGCCCTCTCTCTTGCTCTGCTCTATGTCCAGCGGTCTCCTGCTCTGCCAAGTCCTCCAAACTTCCCGCTCTCTGCTGGGAAGGTCCCAGGAGCTGTGGGTGTGGCTAGGCATGGGCGGCCTTGGCTCCCTGACCGGCAAAAATCCTGGGAGCCCACGGGCGTGGCTACGGCCTCCCTCCTGGGGCCAGTGAAAGTCCTGGGAGTCTGTAGGCATGGCTAGGCGCGAGCAGCCGTGCCTCCTCGACTGGCGAAAGACCTGGGAGCCTGAGGGAGTAGCTACAGCCTCGCCTCCCGGGGCCAGTGAAAGTCCCAGGAGCTCGCGGCCACGGTCTCCGTCACCTCCTGGGGCGCTTGACACCTGCGTATGCAAATTAATTGCCATCTTTGTCAGATAATTTACATAGTCATTCGGATTGGCTGGAGGGCGTGGCTTGTGGGCGTAGCTTGAGCGTAACGGAGGGATGGTTAATTTGCATGTTTCTCTCTTATTATATAGGAGGATATGACTTTATTGGAAGAGATGGTGAAATAATCATTAGGTACTAAAAAACTAAAGCAAACTGAAAGACTTAGGAATAGGAAAGTAATCATTAATGGGACTCTCAAAGAGTTAACCAACCTGGCTGGTGTGGCTCAGTGTTTGAGCATTGAACTATGAACCAGGAGGTCACAGTTTGATTCCAGGTCAGGGCACATGCCTGCATTGTGGTCTCAATCCCCAATGTGGGATGTGCAGGAGGCAGCTGATCAATGATTCGTTTTCATCATTGATATTACTATCTCTCTTCCTCTCCCTTCCTCTCTTTAAAGATATGAAGAAAAAAACTCCTTTTAAAAACCAATTTTTTAATCAAGAAAACTTTTTTTTATAAAAACTTTCATTTTTTAAGACTTAACCAGAAAAGAGAATAGAATAGTAGAATGATGAGTTCATAGCATGTACTACCTGATAAAAGGATGAAGAAGAACAAATGCTTTAAAAAGGATTTAAATAGAATATGGAGAGGAAGGGAGAAGAATGCTCATATAAACTCACAGGCCTCACTAATATATAAGCCAAAGATAAATGAGATCAAAGGATGTCTGGCAGATAATAGATACTCAGGCTTCTTTTTGTTGTTTTGATTTTTAGTTTTTTTAAACAGGTGAATGCATGAGCCAGTGAGTAGTGAACGAGCATGCTTGAGGTTCCTGGTGAGTCACACAGTTAGAAATGAGGACTCTCAGTGCTCATGTGGATAAATAACCAACTCCCAGAGTGTGGGTGATGATGGGAAGGAAATTGAAAAAGAAAATTAAACAGAGGATAAGCTAGCGGTGTATTATTTTTGGATAAAATATAGAATAGACAAATAACTTACCTCCTATTTGGCTTTTGATGATGTTCAATTAAAAAGACAGAGAGTGGGTAGGGAGAGAAGGTATGTTAGCTAGTTTCAAGTGTTTGAAGGGATTTCTTCTAAGAGAGATTAAACTTATTTTGCATGATTCCAGAAGTCAGGGAGAAAAAATACATCCACCTCTTCAGCCAAATTAGCCAAATAAATCTTCACTCTAAGTTGCAGGCAGATCACCCCTTACATTCTAGGGTCAATACTGAAGCCATACAGGAACAAGATGGGGTTGTCTGCCTTCACCACTCTTATTCAACATAGTACTAGAAGTCTTAACCACAGTGATCAGACAATAAGAAAAAATAAAAGGCATCCAAACTGGAAAGGAGGATGTAAAACTGTCATTATTCTCAGATGACATGATATTGTACATAGAAAACCCTAAAGGATCCACCAAGAAACTACTAGATTTAATAAATTATTTTGGCAATGTAACAGGATACAAAATGAACACTCAGAAATTGTTGGAATTTTTACACACCAATAATGAACTCTCAAAAAAAGAAACTAAATTAAACAATCTCATTTACCATTGCAACAACAACAACAAAATTAAGATACTTAGGAATAAACATAATCAAGGAGGTAAAAGACCTGTACTTGGAAAACTATAGAATGTTTAGAAAAGAGCTAGAAGAAGATATACACAAGTAGAAGAATATACCATGTTCATGGATTGCTAGAATCAACATCAATAAAATGTCCATGCTACCCAAAGCAATCTATAGATTCAATGCAATTCCTATTAAAATACCAATGGCATATTTCACAGATCTAGAATAAACACTCCAAAAATTTATATGGAACCAAAAAAGACCTCAAATAGCCACAGCAATCTTGAGAAAGAACAAAGTTGGAGGGATCACAACATCGGATATCAAGCTACACTACAAAGCCACTATACTCATAACAGCCTGGTATTGGCACAAGAACAGGCATATAGACCCATGGAACAGAACAGAGAACCCAGAAATCGACTCAAGCCATTATGCTCAAATAATATTTGACAAAAGAGGCAAGATCATACAATGGAGTAAAGACAGTCTCTTCAATAAATGGTGTGAGGAGAATTGGACAGGCAAGAAAAAGAAAAAGAAAAGAAACTATACCACCAACTTACACCATACACAAGAATAAACTCAAAATGGATAAAAGACTTAAATGTAAGTCATGAAACCATAAAAATCCTAGAAGAAACGTAGGCAGTAAAATCTTAGATATTTCACAAAGCATAATTTTCACTGATACAAGGCCTAGTGCAACAAAGGGGAAAAAATATACAACTGGGACGACATCAAAATAAAAAGCTTCTGCACAGCAAAAGAAAACAGCATCAAAATGAAAGGGAACTCATTGTATGGGACAACATATTTGCCAATGATATATCTGATAAGGGGCTAATTTCCAAAATATATAAAGCACTCATATAACGCAACAAAAGGAAGAGAAGCAATCCAATTAAAAAATATGCAGACACAATAAATAGAAACTTCTCCAAAGAAGATATACAAATGGCCTAGAAACATATAAAAATACTCAACGCCACTAATCATCAGAGACATGCAAATTAAAATAACACCTGCCAAATGGCTACCATCAATAAATCAACAAATGACAAGTGCTGGCGAGGATGTGGAGAAAACAGAACCCTAGTGCACTGCTGGTGGGAATGCAGACTGGTGCAGCCACTGTGGAACACAGTATGGAGTTTCCTCAAAAAAATTAAAAATAGAACTCCATTTGACCCAGTGATACCACTTGTAGGAATATCCTAAGAAGCCTGAAACACCATTCAGAAAGAATATATGCACCCCTATTTCTATAGCAGCAACATTTACAATAGCTAAGATCTGTAAACAGCCCAAGTACCCATCAGCAGAGAGCGAATAAAAAAAGCTGTGGTACCTTTACACTGTACAGTTGTAAAAAGGAAGGATCTCTTACCCTTTGAGGTAGCCTGGAGGGACCTGGAGAGTATTATGCTAAGTGAAATAAAGCCAGTCAGAGAAAGACAAACATCACATGATCTCACATATCTGGAATCTAAGTAGCAAAACAAACAGATGAATAAAATAGAGCCAGAGACATGGAGGCATGCAACAGGTTGAGAATTCTCAGAGGGAAGGGGGTGGGAGGGAAGAGATCAACCAAAGAACTTATATACATAAATGGACACAGACAATAGTGGGGTGAAGGCCTGGGGAGGGAGCAGGAGTGGGGGAAAGGAGGGCAGGGGACTTCTGTAATAATTTCAACAATAAAGATAAATTAAAAAAAATAATGAAGCCATAAGTGAGTGAGATTATTTAGGGAAAGAGTGAAAAATAGAAGAAAGACCAAGAACCAGATCTTGGGTGTAACTTTACAAGTAACTATAAATCAACGACATAATTAACCATGTTTGTAAATGATAATTTTGTCCTATAATTTATCACCTTTTTTTTTTGTAGGAGTGATTCTAGTCAAAGTCCAGATTTTAGAGCTAGTGTTTCATGCTACAACAGCCCAGCAAATAGTTATAAATGCTCACAGTTCTCTGAAGAGCATTTTCTCTTCTCTTCCCAACATCACGTATACTGGCTGTGCAAAGTGTGGATTGGAACTAGAAACAGATGAGAACAAGATCTACAAACAGTGTTTTAGCTGTTTGCCATGTACTACAAAGAAAATATACTACAGGTAAGGCAACTAAGTAAGTCAATCAATGGAAGACATTTATTTTTATAGGCATGGAAATGAGCAATAAATGACATATTTCAACTCTTACTTTCTAATGAGAACTAATTAGAGCTAATACAAGAGTACAGAATTTCCCAAGTGATAAATAGCTATTTATGAAAGCAAATATTGCCCAGTAATCATAACAGGATTTCTAAAAGCAGTAATTGGGAAATTTTATTGTCTTGAAGAAACTATTCCAATTTCTTACTTAGTTTACACTTTTAACCAAGATCTAAATGTAGACGCTCAGTCACCCACCTTAACAAATAATCAAAATTTAAAGGTATTATGTGATCTAACCTTTGAGTTGTGAATCTAGTAAGGCGTTTAACCTTTCTGTACTTCAGTTTTCACAACTTCACATTAGAAAATATGGATCCCAAATGCTCTATGGTAAAATGACTAACCAACTCAGTGAAAAACACATTGTTTTTCAAATAATAAAAGTTCAAATTCTTGCAAAATCTTTTTATTTTTGCCTTATAAATTCCATGCCTTTACAAAATAGCAGTGTTTATTTCAGAACCTTTTCATTCCACCTCCCCCAAAGCCCTGTGCCCATTAGCAGTTGCCTCTCATTCCCCTTCCACACAACTCAGCTTTTGGATTGTTCCCACTTTTTGTCTGTTATAAATAACACTGGTATGGACATTCATGTACAAATTATTGTGTGGATATATGTTTTCATTTCTTTTGGGATATACTCAGGAATAGAATTGCGGGATTATATGGTAACTCTTTGTTTAACCTTTTGAGGAACTGCCAAACTATTTACTGCACAATTTTACATTTTCACCAGCAATGTATGAGGGTTACAGTTTCTCCGCATCCTTGCCAGCACTATGTATGTATATCCCTTTCTTTAAAAGTACATAGAGTGATATGATTCATATTGTTTGTTCATGTTATTTGTTCCTTAGAGAAAGTATATCATGGCTTGCCTTCTCTGATAGCACTTATAAATCTTCCTCATTCTTTTTGTGTGTTTTTTAATCCTTACTAAGAATATTTTTTATTTTTCTTCTTTTTTTTTGTAATCCTTACCAGAGGATATTTTTCCACTGATTTTTGAGAAAGTGGAAGGTAGGGGGAGAGACAGAGAGAGAGAAACATCGATGTGAGAGAGACACATCACTTGGTGTCTCCTGCACAAACCCTGACTGGGGCCCAGGATAGAGCGTGCAACCAAGGTACGTGCCCTTGACTGGAATCAAACCCAGGACCCTTTAGTCCATGGGCCGTCACTTTATCCAGTGAGCCAAACCGGCTAGGGCTCAAGGGTATTTTTCCATTGATTTTTTGAGAGAGTGGAATGGTGGGGGGAGAGACAGAGAGAGAGTAACATCCACATGAGAGAGACACAAGCTTCCCGTACTTGCCCCTGCTGGGTCTGGGGAACCTGCAACCAAGTTATGTACCCTTGAATGGGGAATAGTACCTGAGACCCTTTGGTCCGTGGGCCAGCGCTCTAACCACTGAGCAACTGACCAGGGCTCCCTCATTCTTTTTAATGCCATGTAGTATACCATTGCATCATGTACTGAAAATTATTTATCTACTTCCCTATTTAGTGACACGCCAAAGACTTTGTTTCTGATAGGAAAAAATCCAATGGAAAAAAAATACCTTGAAATTGTGATTGTGAAATATGTGGTTATCACCTTTATTTTTATTTCTTTTTTTTCTTTTTTTTTTTTTCGCTAAAAGTATTACAAAGGGTATTACATAAGTGTCCTTTCCCCCCCCCCCACCCTTGACAAGCCCCTGCCCTCCCTTACCCCCCAGTGTCTTATGTCCATTAGTTATGGTTATATGGATGCATACAAGTCCTTCGGTTGATCTCTTACTCCCCTCCCTTCTGTCCCCCAACCCTCCCTGGCCTTCCCACTGCAGTTCGACAATCAGATTGTGAAATATGTGGTTATCACCTTTATTTTTATTTCAAAAAATAATTTATACAGCAGTGTAAAATTGTTTTCTTATATTACTATTTGAAGTTTTAAAATGAATATGGAATAAATCTAATTGATTATTTTATCATTTGAAACTCTTTTTAAAAAGCCCTTCTTTTGCCTGGCCCGCATAGCTCAGGGGTTGAGCATCAACCAGGAGGTCAGGGTTTGATTCCTGGTTAGGGCACATGCCCAGGTTGTGGGCGCAATCCTAGTGTGGGGCATGCAGGAGGCAGTGGATCAATGATTCTCTCTCGTCATTGATGTTCCTATCTCTCTCTCCCTCTTACTTCCTCTCTGAAATCAATAAAATATATTTTAAAAATAAAAACAATAAAACGCCCTTCTCTTATTTCCAGGATGTTTCAGAACATCCTAGAGTTGCTTTCGAAATTAAAATTAACCCTGCATAAAAACCTAGGACTTTTTGAAATTATATTGCATTTATACATTTTTTAAAATATGAAAATCTTTTGAAGGTCATATGCTATTTACTCTTTTGTAGGCCAGCTTTAATGACCATAGCTGATGGACTATCTAAGGTCTGCGTTCATGTAGGATCAAAGGTGATGGAGAAGATTCTTCTCAACATTTCTCCTGACTGGCTCAGCAGAGTTATAGGTAAGGTGTCCCCAAGCCATGGAGAGATTCATTCATGTCAGGAGTGTAGAGTGTGTATTGGAACAGAAAGAACACTAGACTTTAAATTAAGGCTGAATTCTGTCAGTATAAAAGCAGAAGGATAATTTAGCTTGAGTGAAACACAAGACAGTGTAAGGCAAAACTTTCTCTACACAGGTCTCAGCACATGAATAGAGGGAAGCCAGCACCTAATCACTTATTCTAGGTGTCATTTGGTAAGCAAAATCACTAGGATCTTAGTTTATTAAAAATTAATTTTATTGAGGTGACATTGTTTAATAATATTATATATATTTCAAGTGTACAATTTTCTAGTACATCATCTGTATATTTCACTGTGTGCTCACCACCTAAAGTCTACTCTCTTTAGTTATGATGCTAGGTATAGTCAGTGGCTAACAACAAAGTGAAAATAACCCATTTGGCAGGCGATCCAACTTGATACCTTTCCTCATTAGTCTCAAGCAAATGAGGTAATCTGGTTCTATTGATTGCTCCCTCTTTTTTTAAAAATAATTTATTTTTTTATTTCAGAGAGGACGGGAGAGGGAGAGAGAGATAGAAACATCAATGATGAGATAGAATCATCATTGATTCGGCTGCCTCCTACACTCCCCCACACTGGGGATTGAGCCCAAAACCCTTGGCATGTGCTCTGACTGGGAATCGAACCATGACCTCCTGGTTCATAGGTAGATGCTCAACCACTGAGCCACGCCGGCCGGGCTAGTAATTTTTACTTGAATGCTGAACATTACATATAGAAAAATATAGCTGAGATAAACAGTTTTTTTTTTAACCTGGAAATGGGCATACCTGTTTTCCTAAACCTTTACTGGGGCAAAGGATGAGCAGAGTAGAGTCACTCTTGTCAGACATTGAGTTGTGTTCAGGTTTGTTATTGCTGTCATTACCTTCAGGTCACCACTGGCTTCAGATTCCTCTAGCATAATCTTGTGCTTATGGTGGGGAGTGATTTTCTGGTTTTCCCCAGTATTGCTGCTCTACCATCCACTTTAACCCTTCCCTCTGCACCTGGACCTCAGAGAGAGTTTATCTTCATGTTCTTGCACCTGCCCTGTTTGTATGCACTCTGTTGGTTGTTATTTGGTACATCCCAGTCTGGTGGTAGTGGCAGAAGTTAATTTCTTTCATTTATTTATTTATTGAATTTATTGGGGTGACATTGGTTAATAAAACCATACAGGTTTCACCTGGCTGGAGTGGCTCAGTTGGTTAAGTGTCATCTTGTGCACCAAAAGGTTGCTGGTTTGATTCCCAGTCAGGGCACATGCCTGGGTTGCAGGTTTGATTCCCAGTTGGGAAGCATATGGAAGGCAGCCAATTGATGTTTCTCACATCGATATTTCTCCCTTTCTTTCTTTCTTTCTTTCTTTCTTTCTTTCTTTCTTTCTTTCTTCTTTCTTTCTTTCTTTCTTTCTTTCTTTCTTTCTGTCTTTCTTTCTCTCTCCCTCTCTCTCTCTCTCTCCCTCTCTCTCTCTCTCTCCCTCTCCCTCTCCCTCTCCCTCTCCCTCTCCCTCTCCCTCTCCCTCTCCCTCTCCCTCTCCCTCTCCCTCTCCCTCTCCCTCTCCCTCTCCCTCTCCCTATGTCCTTGGGTGAGGATTAAAAAATAAAATAAAATATAAAACAAACAAACAAAAAAACCCCCACACAGGTTTCAAGTGTACAAGTCAACCAAACATCATGTGCATACTGCATTGTGTGTTCATTGCCCAAAGTAAAGTATCTTTCCTTCCCCATTTATCCTCCCTTTGCCCACTTCCACCTCTCCCACCCCACTTTCTGTCTGGCTATCACCATACTCTTGTACATATCTGTATTGTGTATGTACATATTTTTTGCTTTATCCCTTCACCTTTTTTAACCCAGTCCCTCAACCCCCTACCCTCTGACAGCTGTCAGTCTGCTTTCTGTATATATGGGCTGTTTCTATTTGGTTTGCTAATTTATTTTGTTCATTTGATTCCACATATAAGTAAGATCATACAACATTTGTCTTTCTCTAACTGGCTTTTTTCGCTTAGCATAATAATCTCTAGGTCCATTCATGCTTTTGCAAAAGGTAAAATATCCTTCTTTTTTACAGCCAAGTAGTATTCATTGTGTAAATGTACCACAGCTTTGTATCCACTTATCTACTAATGGGCACTTTGGCTGTTTCCACATCTTGGCTATTGTAAAAAAACGCTGCTCTGGGGAATTAAAAATGGCGGCAGAGTAATGGAAGCTACACTGATACTCTCCCAGGACCAAACTGGAAATACAACTAAAATACAGAAAAACCGCCCTAAAATATCAACTGAGGACTAGCTGGAGAGAATCCTGATAACCAAGGACAGAAAGTGGAGACTGCATAGAGCCTGGTAGGAAGTGTGGAGGTGCAAAAGGGCTGGCCAGGCTCCCACAGACAGCAGCTGAATGTCTGGAGGGATATCTCAGCTGAAGGGGGTTTACCTGAGAACACTGAGGTCTAAACCCCAAGCTTGGCTCCCCAATCCAGATCACCAGAACTGAGAAAGGTGCCCATATAGCACCTGGCTGTGAAAAGCAGCAGGATTGCTGTCTGCTAGCCAGAGACAGTGGAAAAGGCAGGGACCCTCTTAAAGGGCCAACCCACAAAATTTTGTGTGCAGCCACTCACCTTGGGCTCTGGCAGAGGGAGGGAAGAATGGACTGGGGCTGTGTGAGCAGAGTCCAGAGTTGGGGGTCTGGGATTGGCGCTCAGAGGGCAGCCACCCCGGTTTCCTGTGCTGAGTCATTCCCTCAGGCTGCAAAAGACATCTTTCTCCTATGGGTCTTTGCTGTCCAGGTGGTTTTTGCCTAGGGGAAAGGCAGTTATCACATCCCACACACAGCAACTAAAGTTCTGGAGAGTTATCTTAGCTGTGGAGGGTTGCCACTGAGAACTCTGGGGTCTAATCCCCAAGATGGGCCCCCCAGCAGAGAGCACCAGAACTGAAAAGGGTACCCGCATAGCTATGGCTGTGAAAAGCAGCAGAGTTGCTGTTGGCCAGGGAGAGACAGCTGAAAATTCAGGCACCCTATTAAAGGGGCAAGGCACAAAATTCCCTGTGGAGCCACCCACCTTGTGCTCCAGAAAAGGGAGAGCAGAGTGGACTAGAGCTGTGCGAGCAGAAGCCAGGATGGGGGTCTCTGGGGTTAGAGCTCTGAAGGCAGACACCCAGGTTTCCTTTGCTGAGTCATTTCCTAATACAGTGGAGGACAATCATTCCCACACAGACATTTGCTATACAGGAGGCCTTTCCTGAGGGGAAGACAGGTGACCCACCCTATTGGAAAACACCTTGCCCCACAGTGCTGAGTTCTTGAGGCCACTTGAGGGACTGAAAATAATAATTAGCCTCCAGACAGAAGCAACTGCCCCCACCCTGTTGAAAAACTCTCGCCACATGTGAGGACAATTGCCAGAGGGCAATTCAAGTTGTAATTCTATCAATCTGTAGGCAGAGGTGATCTCTGGAGGCTTTGAGTCTTTGCCTGATCTAATTAGTCAGACAGCATTTTACACTGTTCTGCACTAGAGATTGAGAGGCATAGCAGATCTACCTAATACATAGTCACAAACCCAAACAGGCAGCCAAAATGAGGAGAAAAAGAAACAACCCCAAAATGAAAGAACAAGAGAATTCTCCAGAAGAAGGATAAATGAAATGGAGATAAGAAATTTATCTGATACAGAGTTCAGAGTAATGATGGTAAAGATGCTCAACAGCATAAAAAAAGATATAATAACTATGAAAACAGAAATAATGACGTAGTACAAATAAAGAACACACTGGAAGGAATACACAGCAGATTAGAGGAAGCTAAGGATCAAATCAGTGAATTAGAAGACAGGGTTGAAAAAATCATTCAGAGAACCAAAAAGAAAAAACAATTAAAAAACAGGAGGACAGCTTAAGGGAGCTGTGGGCTAATGTGAAACATAACAATATTCAAATAGCAGGTATGCCAGAAGAGGCAGAAAGGGAGAAAAGGATAGAGAACGTGTTTGAAGAAATAATGGCAGAAAACTTCCCTAACCTGGTAAAGGAATAAGTTCAGGAGGCACAGAGAACCCCAAGCAAGAAGAACCCAAACAGGCCCACGCCCAGACACTTATATTGCCAAAATTTAAAGACAAAGATAGAATCTTAAAGGCCGCAAGAGAAAAGCAAACTGTTACCTACAAAGAAGTTCCCATAAGGCTGACACCTGATTTCTCATCAGAAACTCTATATGCCAAAGGGAATGGCATGAAGTTCTCAAGGTAATGGAAAGCAAGGATTTGAAACCAGGTTAGTATATCCAGCAAGGCTATCACTCAAAATAGATAGTCAAATAAAGAGCTTCCTAGACAAAAAAAATGCTAAAGGAGTACATCACCACCAATTTAGCATTATAAGAAATGCTAAAGGGACTGCTTTAATGAGAAGAAGAAACACAGAGAGAAACCTAGGCATACATAATTAAAATGGCAAGAAATAAGTATCTATCAATAATAACCCTAAATGTAATTGGATTAAATGCTCCAATCAAAAGGCATAGGGTAGCTGAATGGATACAAAAAAATGACCCAACTATATTCTGTCTACAAAAGACCGACCTCAGAACAAAAGACACACACAGGATGAGAGTGAAGGAATAGAAAAAAATTGTTTACATGCAAATGGAAAAGAAAAAAAAAGCTGGCGTAGCAATACTCATATCTGACAAAATAGACTTCAAAATGAAGGCCATCACAAGAGACAATAGAAGTCACTACATAATACTAAAGGGATCAATCCAACAAGAGGATATAACACTGGTAAACATATATGCAAACAATATAAGAGCACCTGAATATATAAAAAACTTCTGGAGGACTTTAATGGAGAGATCGACAGCAATACAGTCATAGTAGGGGACTTTAACACCCCGCTGAATTCACTGGATAGATCTTCCAGACAAAAACTTAATAGGGAAACAGTGACTCTAAAGGACACACTGGATCAGATGGATTTAATGGACATTTATAGAACATTTCACCCCACAGCAGCAGAATATACATTCTTCTCAATGCACATGGTCATTCACAAAGATAGACCACATGTTAGGACACAAAACAAGTCTCTACAAGTTCAACAAGATTGAAATCATATCAAGCATCTTCTCAGATCACAGTGGAATGAAATTAGAAATCAAGTATGTAAAAACACCCCAAAACATTCAAACACATGGAGGCTAAATAGCATGTTATTAAACAACTAGTGGCCTGGTGCACGAATTCATGTGCTGGTAGGGCCCAGCCGGTCGGGGCCATCGTGGGTGGGCTGGCTGGGGCCGAGGGCCAATTGGGGGCGGGGTTGTCCAGGGCAAGGGGCTGCAGGCAGTTTGCCAGCCGGCCCCACCCCTGATCGGGGTGAGGGTGCCTGCTGGGGGGTGGGGCCAGCCAGGTGTAGGTCCCGGGCGATTTGCTGTCTGTACCCACCCCTGATCAGGGTGTGTGTGTGTGGGGGGGCTCACTGGATGGCGGGACCGGCCAGGGCAAGGGGCCACAGGCATTCTGGTTTTTCTGCCATTCAGTCTATTTGCATATTACCCTTTTATTATATGGGATGAATGGGTTGCCAATGAAATCAAGAAACAAACAAAAAACTTCCTGGAAACAAATGAAAATGAACACACAGCAACCCCAAATCTCTGTGACACAGCAAAAGCAGTACTGAGAGGGAAGTTCATAGCACTACAGGCATACCTCAAAAAATAAGAAAAATCAATAATAAACTATTTAGTGCTACAACTTAAAGAACTAGAAAGAAAACAGTAACAAAAGCCCAGAGTAAGTAGAAGGAAGGAAATAATAACGTTTAGAGCAGAAATAAATAACACAGAGACTAAAAAAGATAGAAAAAAATCAATGTAACCAAGAGCTGTTTCTTTGAAAGAATAAACAAAATTGATGAACCGTTAGCCAGACTCTTCAAGAAACAAAGAGAGAGGACCCAAATAAATAAAATCATAAATGAAAGTGGAGAAGTAACCACTGATGCCACAGAAATACAAAGGATTGTAGGAAAATACTATGAACAACTATATGCCAACAACCTGGACAATATGGATGCAATAGACAAATTGCTAGACAAATACAATCTCCCAAAACTGAATCAGGAAGAATCAGAAAACCTGATTAGATCAATAAAACAGCTGATGAAATAGAAGCAGCATTTAAAAAAAAAAAAAAAACTCCCAGCAAACAAAAGCCCAGGTCCAGACAGCTTCACAGGGGAATTTTACCAAACATTCAAGAACTAACACCTATACTCAAACTATTCCAAAAAATCCAAAAGGAAGGAACACTTCCAAACTCTTTTTATGAGACCAGAATTACCCTAATTCCAAAACCAGATAAAGACACTACAAAGAAATAATTACAGGCCAATATCCCTGATGAACATAGATGCTAAAATCCTTCATCAAAAATATTAGCAAATTGGATCCAGCAATATATTAAAAAGATCATACAGCATGACCAAGTGGGATTTATTCCAGGAATGCAAGGCTGGTACAATATTCGCAAATCAGTAAACTTGATACATCACAAAACAAATTGAAAGACAAAAATCACATGATCATTATCAATAGACACAGAAAAAGCATTCGACAAAATCCAACACCCATTTTTGATAAACACTCTTAGCAAAGTGAGAATAGAGGAGCATATCTTAACATGATAAAGGCCATATTGACAAACCTATAGCAAGCATCATACTAAATGGGCAAAAACTAAAACCGTTTCCCTCAAGAACAGGAATAAGACTGGGATGTCCATCTTCACTACTCTTATTCAACATAATACTGGAAGTCCTAGCCACAGTGATCAGATAAGAAGAAGAAATAAAAGGCATCCAAATTGTAAAGGAGAAAGTAAAACACTCATTATTCGCAGATGACATGATATTGTACATAGAAATCCCTGAAGACTCCACCAAAACATTACTAAATTTAATAAATGAATTTGGCAGTGTAGCAGGATACAAAATGAACATCCCAAAATCGATGGCTTTTTCATACACCAATAATGAATTTTCAGAAAGAGAAACTAAGCAAGCTATCCCATTACCATTGCAACAAAAATTAAGATACTTAGGAATAAACTTAACCAAGGTGGCAAAACACCTGTACTCAGAAAAGTATAGACGTTGAAAAAAGAGATAGAAGAAGATATAAACAAGTGGAAGAATATACCGTGTTCATAGATTGGTAGAATCAACATCATTAAAATGCCCATACTACCCCAGGCAATCTATAGATTCAATCCAATCCCTATTAAAATACCAACAGCATATTTCACAGATCTAGAACAAATACTCCAAAAAATTATATGGAACTAAAAAAGACCTTGAATAACTGCAGCAATCTTGTGAAAGAACAAATTTGGAGGAATTACGGTACCACATATCAAGTTATAGGATGCATATTCTTTCAAATGAGTAGATCGGGTTTCTTCAGATATATTCCCCAAAGTGGGATCACTGGATAAAAAGGAAGTTCCATTTTTAATATTTTTGAGGAAACTCCATACTGCTTTCCACAGTGGCTGTACCAGTCTGCATTCCCACCAGCAGTGCACCATGAGGGTTTCCTTTTCTGCACATCCTCACCAACACTTTTTTGTTGGTTTATTGATGCTAGTCATTTTGACAGGCGTGAGGTAATATCTCATTGTGGTTTTAATTTGCATCTGTCTGATGATTAGTGATGTTGAGCATCTTTTCATATGACTATTGGCCATCTGAATGTCCTCTTTGGAGAAGTGTCTATTTCTTTGTTCATTTTTTGATTGTGTTGTTTTTTCTTTTTGGTATTGAGTTGTATAAGTTTTTTTATATATTTTGGAAATTAACCCCCTATCAGATGTATCGACAAATATGTTCTTCCATTTGACTCAGTGCCTTTTCATTTTGTTGATTTTATTTTTTCTGTGCAAAAGGTTTTTAGTTTGTAGTCCCATTTCTTTATTTTTTGCTTTTTTTCTCTTGCCCAAGGAGATATATTGGCAAAAATATTGCTACGATTAATGCCTGAAATTTTACTGCTTATGTTTTCTTCTAGGATTTTTATGGTTTTATGACTTACATTTATGTCTTTTATACATTTTGTGTTTATTCTTGTGTATGGTCTAAGTTGGTGGTCTAGTTTCCTTTTTTTGCATGTACCAGTCAAATTTCCCTACTGCCATTTATTGAAGAGACTGTCTTGACTCCACTGTGTGTTCTTTCCTCCTTTGTCAAATATTAATTAACCATAAAGGCATGGGTTTATTTCCTGACTCTGTTCCATTGATCTATATGCCTGTTCTTATGCTAGTACCAGGCTGTTTTTAAAAATATATATATTTTTGTTGATTTTTAGAGAGAGGAAGGGACAGGGAGCAAGAGAGAGTGAAACATTGATTTGGCTGCTTCCCTCATGCCTCACCACCAGGGATCAAGCCTGCAACCAGGGCACATTCCCTGACTGGGAATCGAGCTGGCAACTCTTAAGTACTTGAGACGATGCCTAACCACCTGAGCCACACCAGCCAGGGCCAGCCTGTTTTGATTACCATGGCCTTGTAGAACAGTTGGATATCAGGTAGTGTGATACCTCCAACTTTGTTCTTCTTTCTCAAAATTGTTGGGGCTATTTGGAGTCTTTGGTGGTTCTGTATAAATTTTTGGAATATTTGTTCTAGATCTGTGCAATATGTCATTGGTATTTTAATAGGAATTGCAATGAATCTATAGATTGCTTTGGGCAGTATGGACATTTTAAAAAAATTCTTACCCGAGGATATATTTTTATTTTATTTTGTTTTGTTAATCTTTACCTGAGGAAAATTTTTCCCCATTGTTCTTCAGAGAGAGTGGAACTGAGCTAGGGAAGGAGAGAGAAATAGATAGAGAGAAACAGAGAGAGAGACATTGATTTGAGAGAGACACATTGACTGGTTGCCTCCTGCATGCCCCCTGACCAGAAGTGGGGAGCAAACCCACAACCAAGGTATATGCCCTTGACTGGTAATTGAACCCATGGTCCTTCAGTTGATGCTCTAACTACTGTTGATCCTGAGCAACACCAGCCAGGATCCCTGTAAATTATTATTATTTTTTAATATTTCTTTAACAATTTCAGAGAGGAAGGGAAAAGGAGGGAGAGACAGCAATATCAGGGATGAGAAAGAATCATTTACTGGCTGCCTTCTGCACACCCACCACCAAGGATCAAACCCACAACCGGGCTTGTGCCCTGAGAAGGAATCAAACCTCAACCTCCTGGTTCATATGTCTACGCTAACCCACTGAGCCAGGGGGAAGAGTGAGCCTGCAGCGTGTGTTTCTGCCTGTGGGACAGGACACTGAGAGTGTGCATGTTTCCGTTCTCTGCAGCCCCGCCCTCGGAGGTCACCTATGGCTTGGTTGCAGCAGACGTGCTCCACTCCTTGTTGGCAGCCTGCGGAGCACCTTGCGTCCTGAAGGTGCAGAGCCTCTTCGTGTTGGAGGAAAACAGCTACCCGCTGCAACAGGACCTCTCCTTGCTGGACTTCTCGCCTGCCTGGGGAGCATGCTCCTAGCCCTCCCTGAGGCCAGTGGAGACCATGGCACTTCAAGGAGATCACAGAAAAGGATTTGTTTCCAGCCCAATGAATGACAGGGCTTTTGCTTGGGGTTTTTAAATACACAGGTGTAGGCAAAAGTAGGTTTATAGTTGTTCATATGGAAAATAATACAATAATTAACAAATCCTATATAATAAAACTATTTCCTGGGGGGGTCGGGCCTAAGCTGGCAGGTGGACTTCCCCTGAGGGGTCCCAGACTGTGAGAGGATGCAGGTCAGCCTGAGGGACCTCTCCAAGTGCACGAATTTTGTGCACCGGGCCTCTAGTAATATAAGAACACACTTTCACATGCAACTGTAACCCTATTTTTGCTCACCCTTGTATTTTATAAAGAGCTAAATAAAGATATTTAATAAAGAGCTAAATATGTAAAATAAAACATTTTTTTCTAAGAAAATTTTGTTGGGATTTTTGTTTTTATGTTTTCCTCTCTTCTAGGGCAGTGATTTTCAACCTTTTTCATCTCATGGCACACATAAATACTAATTACTAAAATTTTGCTGATCTGACAAAAAATAGGTATATTTTGATTCATTCACACTGGACAACTATTGTGTTGGCTGTTGTCATTTTTATTTGACAGTCTAAGGCAGCCGTGGGTAAACTATGGCCTGCAGGCCGGATCTGGCCCGTTTGAAATGAATAAAACTAAAAAAAAAAAAAAAGACCGTACCCTTTTATGTAATGATGTTTACTTTGAATTTATATTAGTTCACACAAACACTCCATCCATGCTTTTTTTCCGGCCCTCCGGTCCAGTTTAAGAACCCATTGTGGCCCTCGAGTCAAAAAGTTTGCCCACCCCTGGTCTAAGGGAAAAGAGAGCAGTGCCCCTGACTAAATAGTCAGGTGCTGCATGTTTTAAAAATTCTTGCAGCATACTGGGTGAAAATTGCTGTTCTTGAGAAATTATCTAGCAATAACGGCAATGTATTCCTGGGAATTGAAGGTTCACTTTCTGCAGTCCTTGCCAGAGTCTAGGTGCTAGGCTAAGTACTGCGGATGCAGGTTAACACTTCCTCAGGAACTCCTTTCTGCTCTACTCTCAAACTCTAGTTTTCCTTATTCCTCTTTCGTAAACTATCGCCATGAGATGATTTCCTTAATCATAACTACACGTAATAATGGGCTAGTTTGAATAAGCCCATGTTTAGACAAGTTCAAGATGAACATGTCTTTTTATGAAGAATTGAAAATGGTGGAGACAAGGTCATGCTTCATTTTACAGAGGGAGGAAGCGCCACATTGTGAGTTGGGATTTGAGTGCCTTACTGAACTGACTTACCAACAAACATTTAGCAACTTATGTTCTCATTGTGTTTGTCAAAGAAGCTCATATAAAATGGTAAAATGAGGAAATACGGAGTGGCACTTAACTTGTAAATATGGATGGAGTATGTTGTGACTTAATAATATTGCTTGAAAACAACTAAAAACAACTTGATGAAATTAACAAGTTTATTTTACTATGTCTGTGTTTTGTTAAATTCCTATAGTTCATTGAAATTATTTTCTCTAATTCAGGTTTTTTCCCTTTTTAAAAAAACTTTGATTCTCCCCAAAATAATATGCAACAATGTGTATGGGAGAGTGCAGACAAAAGTCCATTTTTCAGTGGAGAGGGGTCTATGCCTTTCAATAAATCCTCAGAGGCATCTTTGACAAAAAAAAAAAAAAAAAGGTAGAAACTTTCTGAGTTAATTTGGGGGAAAGACAAAAAGAATAGACCAAAGGATTTCTGAGGTTTTATCTAGCACCTATAAGGTGGGTAGAGAGCTGTCCTGCCCTGGCCGGTTTGACTCAGTGGTGAGTGTTGGCCTGCAGACTGAAGGGTCACAGGTTTGATTCTGATCAAGGGTATGCACCTTGGTTGCAGGCTCAATCCCCAGGCTTAGTTGGAGTACGTAAGGATGTGTCTCTCTCACATCAATGCTTCTTTCTGTCTCTTCCCTTCCACTCTGAAAATCAATGGAAAAAATATCCTCCTCTAGTGAGGATCCCCTCCCCCCCCAAAAAAGCTGTCCTATTTTTTATCTAGAGATACTAGAATTCAAACAAAATACTTGGCTCCTCTGGGTAATTCATCTAACAGATGGTTAAACTCGAGCCCAGAGCTGATGTCCTCTAATCCATGTTCTTTCAACCATAACCACAGCAGAAGCAAATGAGTTTTGATGTAGAATCTGTCCAATTGTATAAGCCCACCAAGAGAACTGTTCTTTTAAGTTTTCCCTTCTCTACTTCGTTCCCCAAGACATGTCCTAATCCCTACATCTACCAAAACATGAACTCCTGCAATTGATGGCTCTTCACATGCTATTGGGAAGAAGCCTTTAAACCATTTCAAGTGAGACAAAGAACACCAGAGACTATCATCTAATATTTAATTGGGATCAGCGGAGCTTCAGCTCTTTGCTATATTCCTTACCTGAGATGAACAAGAGAGTATACTTAACTTATTTCATACATTTTCATAAAACTCAATTGGGTAGCCTAAGAGTGTCTGTGAAGTTCATGGTTCTACATCTGGCAATTCCATGGGAGGCATTTTAGGTAAACCTCATTCTTTATCTCTTGATAGTTCAGCTGAGAGGGACAGCTCTCCCCCCCCCAGAAGCATTCATCTTTCTCCCCACTAGTGAGATCTGCGCTAAATTTCCTTTTGCATCTTGGATTTTTTGGGGGGTGGTTCTGATCTTCAAGTGGGATGACAAAATTGAACACATGATCCCCCTGCAGACATTTGCTGAGAGTATACATGTGTTAGGCACGGGTCCTACTAGAGCAGATAAGAAGGCTGCTTTCAGTGAGTTCATAGACAGGCTGGCGGAGAAACATTTAAACAAAATAATAATAATAATAGTGCTGGGATTCAATCTGTGTGAAAAGGCAAAAGAGGTAGTAGAATAGATTTAGTAGAACTCTTTATTGCAAGTGATAAAAAACCAACTCACACTAGCTTGAGCAAAAAATGGGAGATACTGTTGCACGTAACTGAGTGTAGTACTAGCTTAAAGCACAGTTGACTCCATTGGCTTAAATTATGTCATCTGGCTACTCCAACCCTTAATTCTTTCCTTCCCTCTATTTCTCCCCCGTTTCTTTCCTTGCCCTGTTCTCTCCCCCTCCTATGTTTCCTTTTCCTCCTTTCCTGCCCTTTCTCTCCATCTTTCCCTCTTTTCTTTATCTTTCCTACCTATGCGCATAGATAAAAGATGACTGTAGGAAGGCCCAAACCTTCCTCTGTTCAGAAAGAGAGACTCTTTGCTAGTATCACATAGCAAATTTCATGGGAGGACTCTTATGGCATCTGCTTAGTTTACCTGCCCTCCCCTTGTGACCAGGCATGGGTGGGGCCCTGGTACTGAAAGGGCTAAAACCATATAGGATGCAAGGAGCCTATCATTGATGAAAGGGGAGCCTGAGCCCGAGCCAGGCACATGTCTGTGGCAATGGAAGATGCAGGAAGGCTTCATAGAGGAAATATTTAACCTGCAATAAAAAATATTGTCACCACAAAAGCAGAGTGATCAGCATACTATAGCGTAGCATATCTGGGAAAATAGAATATCTCAAATAGGGCTTGTTAGGGTTGCTGCAAGAGGAATGTACGAGGCCAAAGGGGTAAAGAATTATGAATTTATTAGGTCATCTGGGAAACCAGATGCTGAGCTCTAAAATAGTGCCAGCACCCAGGGACAGGGCGTCAGAGATTTTAAAGGACTCTAGGCTGGCTTTTTCTGGATGGAGAATTCTCTAGGTGAGTCCTGAGGGGAAAGATAATGGTCTTAGCAAGTGGAATGTGGTCTAAGCAAAAGGGAATGTCGGTTGTGAAGGGGTCTAAAGGTCAGTTCCCAGGGGAGGGAGTATCCATTCAATTATTTGATCAGACTTAACATTCCAGCTTTTTTGTTTTATGGAATAGCCACAAAGGCCATATCTTCCATAGTTACTTCCCGAGGGGAGTATCGTGATCATAGGGGCATGGACTTTGATTGTAGTGGGCTGGAACCCTGTATAGATTCCTCCTGGTTGGAGCGAGGGGTCACAGCAGCATGATTTGCCCAAGAGACTGGTTGGTGAAGGCTTGAAAGCGGTCCTGTTGAGTGACTTGGGAGGTAAAAGCTGGTCCTGAGGCTGCCACAGTGTCACTTGTCTTGTTTTGCTGCTTTTCTGGGCCTGGGGCTGAAATACAACTGAGGCCTAGATGTTATCTTTAGGGAGGAAACGGTCAGAGGTCTGAGCCACCTAACCTGGTGGAGATAATCTGTTTTATAAATTTTAGTATTACTGGGGCAAAGGCTAGAACAATAAGAATTATGACAAATGGTCTGGTGAAAGGAAAGAGACATGAGTTTGGAGGGTTGTAGTCCAATATACCAAAATGAGGCTTATTCTCTTAGTTTCATTTGTCCTTGTCTTAGGAAGATGGGATTTACTAGATGGCTGAAAACTGCTGTTTTACCATCTCAGTTTCCCTTTTCTGCTTGTCCTGGCTTGCTGGCCTGTGTCATTTATATAACTTCCTTTTAACATTTCTCCCTATAGACTCATAACTTTCACAAACCTTCTTACAACTTTCACAAACATTCTTACAACTTTAACTCACTTTCTTTTTCCTTCAAAATGCATGTCCATGCCTCATGACTTCTATTATCAACTCTTAGAAACCTTAATTTTCCAATGATAACCAAAAAATAAACAGCCAGCATTTCTTAGATTGACATTTATGAACACACTTTAAACACAATCTTACTTTCAAGAAAATATACCTTTAACCAAGTACAAGACATTACATTAACAGTTCCAAATCTACTTTATAGATTTTTTATAACAAAAGCTAAAATCAGGTGAACTTAAAATTTGTTGAAATATTTAGATATTTATCATTTAACCCAGCAATGCTCCAAAGCTTTTAAGTTGCCAAAGAAGACTTTGGAAAATTATGTATAGGCATATGAGGCTGGAGAAAAGGCAGAGGGGTCACAGGGAGCAGGTCCTACAGCCTGTTCTAGGACTGGTTTCCAGGCCTCCAGCTGCTTGGATTTAAAACGGCCATGTTTTCCTTAGTGATAACAGCTAAGGTTTGGGTGATAATGAGTTCAGCTTCTGATAGTAGCAGAACTGTTAAGAAAGTGCAGTTTTGCAGTAAAGAAAGTTGTTCTTTTGGAAGTAGGAGAGGCGTGAAAAGGCGCTGAAGTGAGAGGAGTTTTTAGAGCATTAAGGGGGTGAGAATGCTGGCTTTGGGATCTAAAGGCTCAGTGAGGGGTCCCTTCCTTGAGTCATAGAGGGGCTTTGCGAGAAGACTAAAGTTGGGGACCCAGAGGCCAAAGTACACAGTGAGCCTGAGAAAGGAGAGTATTTGTTGTTTAGAGGAGGGGACAGTCATGGAGGAGA